TTTAGAGTGTGAACATTATGTTTAAGTGTAATTAATATAATATGAAAATAGAAGCTTTTGACCTATTTCTGGATGTCTTCTTCATTTCATCTTCATAATGCCATAATTTAACATTACATGTGAACAGGGTCATTATATGGGCTTAAAACTGATTGCTAATATTAGATTACCCTTACCTAATCAATGTACATAATTTACATTGATGACTTGCATAACTGTTAAACTACCATTCAACAAAGGCTGAAATCCAATAACATAACTTACACTGTGTAAGATTGGTGACATCAACAGCTACAGAAATTTTATTGCTAATGAAATATTGCAGTGCCTTCCCAAATATCCTGAGATTCTCATGCAATCCCCCCTGTTATCTGGAAGCTGTTGAAGCCTAAGGAACTGAAGGGAAAACATCAACACTACAGGATGACTTTTAAAATGCCAGCAATATTTGGAAATTAAAACTTCCCCTTCATTCTGCTGCCTCCAATCATTTCCTTTTGTTGAAAGGAATCCCAAGGGAAACTTGGGATCTTTGGGATAGGGGATCAGAAATGATGAAAAGCTACTATGGCTAATGTTGTCATCCGCCTAATATCGCATAAAGTTGCACAACAGGATTTCAGCCAATGGATTCTATTTCATTTGGGAGTTGCATTTGTATTTAGATCATAATGCCCTTTCTACTAGAAATCACTACATTAATTTTACTTTCCTTACCAGGTTTTCTGCAAGATTTGCATTGTAGACTTTGGCACTTTAAGTGGTGCTTGCTCCACCTAATGAGCTCACTTCAAACTTATTTCTATTAGTAGAAAATCATCTTATCACATTCAGCACCATGGGGTAAAATATGCCAGTAGTGATATGTGAAAACGGTTACTCTATCTGCACAGGTTCTGTTTCAATCATTTTGTTCTCAGGCATCCATAGAAGGCCCGTGGAATGTCTTTAATGGTCTCATGTTTCTGAATAAATTCTGCATGTCCAAGTTTTTTAAAGAAAAAGAATGTAAAAGTGTGGGAAACCAGCACAGGGAATTTATAAAACTGAGCTTTGTTCCAGATTTAGTAAAATGGACTGAACTCCTTGTATGTAGAAGGGAACCTGAGAGAGGTTTCCAAAATTTGTTAATCTTGTCTTTACTACATAGGGAGTTCATTGCTTTAATGGGAAAAATGAAGATAGGGAGTCCTAGGGAGGTGGGTAATTTGATCATTTTTTCTTACCAATGCTGCCTCCATTTTGCTGTAAGAGATTTATATAACATCTATTTGCTCTTTCTAGAGGAACAAAATGGAGTCCACAAAAAAAAAGCGCTACTGGACCTGTAGCCTTTCTATCCCTTTCAACCTTGCTTTGCATATTCGCTCGCCTCCTAAATGACACACTCATTTTCTTTGCTGACTGTGAGACAGAAAAATGGTGAAGGGTCTTTCCTGTCAGGTATAATAAAAAGTCCTAACTGGGGGTATTTTGAGGAAAGCAAAAAATAAAAGAGTAGATGAGAAAAGGAAAAAGAAACAGGGCTTTCAGGCTATTGATAATTAAAACAATTACAGGCATAGTTGAGGACGGCATATACAAGAGTATGACCTCACTGACTGTGTTTCTTTCTCTAATTCTTTTATTCTATTTCCAAGTCTAGAGACTTCATTTTTGTGACTAATACTTTAAGTCAGAGTGCCCCAGATGTTTTCTAAGATGTATAGATCTTGCTGGCAGCCTTCTCTCCTATTGCATCTGAAAGTGTTGGGATGAGCTTTCTCAAACGTTTCTGACAAAATCAATTGAAATTATGTGTGTAGGTTGTCTGCCTTTTAGTAATGGGTGTGGCAAGCACATGACATGGAGCAAAGCAAAGTTTACTTTGCTGAAACTTTGATCTCATCTAAGATAAATGCCAACCATTTTCTCCATCCATATGTGAAAGGTCATATTATTCAGTTGCACAGCTGATTGGACAAAAGGTCATTTGTCACTCTTCTTTTGAGAATGCTATCACTTCCTCATAAATTATCTTGCTCTGGTTTGACATTAGATATTTGTTTGTCTCCATCAATTGACACTGATAGGGCTATTGTTGTTGTTATAAGTAAATGCAGCTGCTGTGTATGACATGTTGTCAATACAGAGTGTTGCTAAACTTGGAGAAGAAGACATGGGAGATTAAGAATTGTGTCAGATCCTGCATAACATCCTATCACTACAATAAGGAACTCCAAAGGAATATAGAATATAGTATTCTTTTGCTTTCTGAAGCAAAGTGCACATACAGCAAGCAGAGAATGACTGCCTTCGTCTTTAAAAAAGACACAGGCAACCTTTGAGATGATCTTAATACTTAAAGACCATGCAACAAAGCAATCATTTTCCTCTTCAGCAATTTGCTTTAGTTGTAATGAAGCATAATGTATGTTCAGGTACATTTGGTTTGCTGGGGAAAAAATAATCTCTTCAATATCTTCTCATGCTGACAGTGCCACAAAATACATACATCACTGTGTCACAGGGCAAGAAGGACAGTTGCGTGGATTCTCATCTTGGCATATGAGGATGGCACAAAAAAGGATTTACATCCCATAAAACACACCTATCTAGGAGTAACAGTGCAATCAGAACTCAAAGATACACTGGCAGGAGCGGGTTTGGAACAAGCAGAGGCTTCTTAGATGGGTACAAACCCCTTCTGCTGGCTGATCTCAGATCTATCAACACACTTATTGGGCTTGCTGAGATCAGTCAAAAAAAAAATAAGAGCCAAAAAGATATGGAGTCTGTTCAGCCCAGACTCACAGCCACTATGCCAGGTCAGTTAGGCCAGGGTCAGGGGGGTCCAAAGTAATTTCCCACAGGCCTAATTTGGGAGGGTTTGGATTCAGCACAGGCTCAGCAGCTTGGTGTCATTTCAGTTAGCCCTGAGCGATCTTGGCTACTGAAGACTGCTCCTTAAATCTCAGTAAATTCAGTGGGATTGAATTCTCCATAGTCGGACATAAGAAATGTTCCTGCTATAAAAGACAGGTAATATCTGGACATTGTTTGCCTACATGCCTGGCAGGTTTCTGAAGTAACAGCCAAAACATCATTGAAAAGAAAAGGAATTGCAGTTTCCCCAAAGATACTATGCCAATAAGCAGGAAATCTGGACAGAAAACTTCTGAGGCCCACTTGATCCTGTGCTTTGGAAGAATGGCAGAAGAAGACAAGCCCTCCTTTTCTTTGCTTTTCTGTTTCACTGGTAGCAAATGCCAGACCCAACTGAATAGAAGGATGTGGATTATGGGTCACCAAATCATACTTTCAGAACATAAGAAGATCTCTGCTAGATCAGAGAAATGGCTTCCCACATTGGCCAGCCGGGTATTTCTCGAATGTCTACATGCAAACGCTGAAAGCCACCTACCATTGTTGCTTCCAAAAGGTGTTAGCTTCCAGCAAGGGATAGTGACAAGAAAGATCATTCTGCTTCTATTTCATGCCAATTTCCCCTGTGTTTCAAAATACATTTGCTTCATCCCATTTGCATTTAATTCTGTAATTTCTAAAAACAGCTACACAAAAATGTGCATTACTTTTAGCATATTTTTTACTGTAGATGTGCATTTTCTACATGTATTATAAAAATATGAATCCTTGCATGCAGATTAATTTAAAATTAATACTTCTACACCTGTACATGAACATTTTTGAGTGGGGAACCTAAATTCAGAGAAGTGTGAAAACTGATGGGCAATTGTGTCCTCATCTCTTTTTTCATCAGGGAATGGCAAATGACTGGTTCTCTTGAAAGTGCTGACTGAACTAAGGCCTAATCAGTAGCAGCATAGACCCCTAAATGTAGTCCATAATAGGTAAATATTGTGAGTAGCAGCCAGTGACAGACTTCTTATCCATGAATTTATCTAATATGTATACTTTTAATACTATTGAAGGTAATGGTCCTTACCACTTTCTTAGGTAACAAAGTTAATTAGCTTGTGAATATAGGCTGTAACAGTATCACTTGAACTGAAACTAATCTAGTCATTGTGCATGTGGGTGACATTTATTATACATATATACATTGCATACTGAATATAACCAATATGAAATAAATGGTATGCTTGCATGATATATTATCTTACGTTTGAAAATATAACTGATGACATGAAACATTTTGTGGTCTTTGCTTGTTTCTGGCACAGTATAGATACTTAAATGCATACTAGATGCACATTTAAAATATTGTTAAAAATACTTTTTAAATTCAAATCACTTCCTGTAGGTAGTAATCCTAATTCAAAACGTATTTAACTGCACCATCGTTCCAATAAAAGCTTGGGCATTCAGTGCACTGCAGTCAATTACCAGTTAATATCTTTGTCTCAGCCACAGAAACAATAATTAGCTTTTATTAAGTAACATAGAGTAATATGTGCAGATACATTTTTATAAAGGAAGTAATTAAATACTTTTTTCTCTCAGAGATGTTCACTGTTTGTTTACCAGAGAGAATGCCTATTGTTTTATGACATAATTATCATATTAGAAATAAGGAGCATTTTATAGGGATATGAATTCAAGTATATTTTCTGTAGTATTTAAAGGGAGACGCTCACATGCATAGTCGCTGAAAACATGTGCCCCTGAGCATCATTCAGTTCAATTTTCCGATAGATTCCCCCCTCCTCCCTTGCTCTTGCTCTGATGTCTTCTGTAAACCAAAGGACCATATTTTCTGCAATCCTGGATTGCAGCATACAACCCAAAGTTTAGTTCAGACATGATGAATCATAACCCTACATTAAATTGTAGGGCTCATTCTCACATGCATGTTGTTGTTTAGTCGTTAAGTCATGTCCGACTCTTCGTGACCCCATGGACCAGAGTATGCCAGGCTCTCCTGTCTTCCACTGCCTCTCATGTGCACAGTTATGACAATAGAAAATTGAGAACCAAATTATGAATTATGGATGTTTAAATCAAGATATATGGCATAATTTCAATAATTTCTGTTCCAGAATGGCAAGATCTGTTTAGGAAGCCGAAACAATTCAACCTCTCCTCAACTAAAGGTGGTAGAAACAGATCACGACTTGCAGGTATAAATTTAATTAAATCTAAACTGGTTGTCAAATGCTGCTCTGGAGCTATTTCAATATTTTCTTGTTCAGAAATGTCCACTTCGTCTAAAGCTTCTTTTGAGCACAATAGATAATTTCAATGCCACAATGCTTTCTCTCTCTCTCTCTCTCTCTCTCTCTCTCTCTCTGTGTGTGTACAGTACATAAACACACACACACACACACATATATGTGTGTGTGTATACAGTACATTTTTACTGGCCTCAAGCCAATGGTGCCAACATAAAATATGATATTAGAGAATTAGTCTCCATTGAATTGAATGGGATCTATTCAGAAATGAGTATGTCTGGGATTGTGGCTTCAATTTTATATTAGAAACAAGGTTTTAATCTAATCTAATCTAAAATTAAGGCCACAATCCTAGACATACTCATTTCAGAATAGATCCCATTCAGTTCAATGGAGAATAATTCTGAGTAGGGTTGCTGTTGTTTAGTCGTTTAGTCGTGTCCGACTATACATGACCCCATGGACCAGAGTACGCCAGGCCCTCCTGGTCAAATTCATGTTGGTAGCTTCAATAACACTGTCCAACCATCTCGTCCTCTGTTGTCCCCTTCTCCTCTTGCCCTCACACTTTCCCAACATCAGGGTCTTTTCCAGGGAGTCTTCTCTTCTTATGATATGGCCAAAGTATTGGAACCTCAGCTTCAGGATCTGTCCTTCCAGTGAGTACTCAGGGTTCATTTCCTTCAAAATGGATAGGTTTGTTCTCTTTGCAATCCAGGGGACTCTCAAGAGTCTCCTCCAGCACCACAACTCAAAAGCATCAATTTGTCGGTGGTCAGCCTTCTTTATGGTCCAATTCTCACTTCCATACATTGCTACTGAAAAAACCATAGCTTTGAATATGTGGACCTTTGTTGCCGAGCTGATGTCTCTGCTTTTCAAGATGCTGTCTTGGTTTGTCATAGTTTTCCTCCCAAGAAGCAGGTGTCTTTTAATTTTGTAGCTGCTGTCACCATCTGTGATCATGAAGCCCAAGAAAGTAAACTCTGTCACTGCCTCCATATCTTCACTTCTATTTGCTGGGACGTGATGGGACCAATGGCCATGCTCTTAGTTTTTTTTATGTTGAGCTTCAGACCATTTTTTGCACTCTCCTCTTTCACCCTCATTAAGAGGTTCTTTATTTCCTACAAACTTTCTGCCATCAGATTGGTATCATCAGCATATCTGAGGTTGTTGATATTTCTTCGAACATTCTTGCTTGGGATTCATCCAGTTCTGCCTTTCACATGATTTATTCTACATATAAGTTAAATAAGCAGGGGGACAATATACAGCCTCGTTGTACTCCTTTCCCAATTTTGAACCAATTAGTTGTTCCATATCCAGTTCTAAGTCTTGCTTCCTGTCCCACATATAGATTTCTCTATAGATAAGGTAGATAAGGTGGTCAGACACTCCCATTTCTTTAAGGACTTGCCACAGTCAAAGGCTTTTTGCATAGTCAATGAAGCAGAAGGAGATGTTATTTTGGAAGTCTCTGGCTTTCTCCATAATCCACCAAATGTATTCGCAAAGGCTTTAAGGGCATGATCTAATGGTTGTTGTGGGTTTTTCTGGCTCCTTGGCCGTGTTCTGAAGGTTGTTCTTCCTAATGTTTCACCAGTCTCTGTGGCCGACATCTTCAGAGGACAGAGTGCAATTTGGTCTCTGGTTTCTCTGCCCCTTCGAAATCCAGCTTATACTTCTGGGAGTTCTCGGTCCACATACTGCTGAATCGTACCTTGGAGGATTTTGAGCATAACCTTGCTGGCATGTGAAATGAGTGTAATTGCACGGTAGTTGGAGCATTCTTTGGCACAGCCCTTCTTTGGGATTGGGATGTAGAGGATTGTTTTCCAATCCTCTGGCCACTGTTGAGTTTTCTAAACTTGCTGACATATTAAATGTAGCACCTTAACAATGGCATCTTTTAAGATTTTAAATAGTTCAACTGTAATGCCATCATCTCCACTGGCCTTGTTGTTAGCCATGTTTCTAAGGCCCACTTGACTTCACTCTCCAGGATATCTGGCTCAAGGTTAGCAACCACAGTATCTGAGTTTTCCGGAACATAGAGATCTTTCTGGTATAATTCCTCTGTATATTCTTGCCACCTCTTCTTGATGTCTTCTGCTTCTGCCAGGTCCCTGCCATTTTTGTCTTTATCATGTCCATCTTTGCACAAAATGTTCCTTTAATATCTCCAGTTTTCTTGAACAGATCTCTGGTTTTTCCCTTTCTATTATTTTCCTCTATTTCTTTGCATTGTTCATTCAAGAAGGCCCTCTTGTCTCTCCTTGCTATTCTTTGGAAGTTTGCATTCAATTTTCTGTAACTTTCCCTATCTCCCTTCTCTTCTCTGCTATTTTAAAGGCCTCATTGGACAGCCACTTTGCTTCCTTGCATTTCCTTTTATTTGAGATGGTTTTTGTTGCTGCCTCCTGTACAATGTTACGAGCCTTCATCCATAGTTCTTCAGGCACGCTGTTCACCAAATCTAGTTCGTTAAATCTGTTCTTCACTTCCACTATGTATTCATAAGGGATTTAATTCAGATTATATCTGAGTAGCCCTGTGGTTTTTCCTACTTTCTTCAGTTTAAGCTTGAATTTTTCTATAAGAAGCTGATGATCAGAGCCACAATCAGCTCCAGGTCTTGTTTTTGCTGATTGTATAGAGCTTTTCCTTCTTTGGTTACAGAGAACATAATTAATCTGATTTCGGTATTGCCCATCTGGTGGTGTCCATGTGTAGAGTCGCCTCTTGTGTTGCTGGAAATGAGTGTTTGTGATGACAAGCTTGTTCTCTTGACAAAACTCTATTAGCCTTTGCCCTGCTTCATTTTGAACGCCAAGGCCAAACCTGTTGTTCCTTTTATCTCTTGACTCCATACTTTAGCATTCCAATCCCCTATAATGAGAAGAACATCTTTCTTTGGTGTCATTTCTAGAAGGTGTTGTAAATCTTAATAAAATTGGTCGATTTCAGCCTCTTCAGCATCGGTGGTGGGTGCATAAACTTGGATTGCTGTGATGTTGAAAGGTCTGTCTTGGATTTGTGTTGAAATCATTCTATCATTTTTGTGATTGTATCACAATACAGCTTTTCCCACTCTTTTATTGACAGTGAGGGCTACTCCATTTCTTTTACGGGATTCTTGCCCACAATAGTAGATATGATAATTGTCTGACCTGAATCTGCCCATTCTTGTCCAGTTTAGTTCACTGGTTGTGTCAGTCTCCTGTTTGACCACATCCAGCTTACCAAGTTTCATGGATCTTACATTCTAGTTTCCTATGCAGTATTTTTCTTTGCAGCATCAGACGTTCCTTTCCCTTCCAGGTGCATCCGCAGCTGAGCGTCTTTTTGGCTTTGGCCCAACTACTTCATTAGCTCTGGAGCTATTTGTACCTGCCCTCCACTCTTCCTCAGTAGCATGTTGGACGCCTTCCGACTTGAGGGGCCAATCTTCCTGTGTCATATCTTTTAGCCTTTTGTTTCTGTTCATGGAGTTTTCTTGGCAAAGATACTAGAGTAGCTTGCCAGTTCCTGCTCCAGGTGGATCGAGTTTAGTCAGAACTCTCCACTATGACCTGTCTATCTTGGGTGTCCCTGCACAGCATAGTCCATAGCTTCTCTGAATTACTCAAGCCCCTTCGCCACGACAAGGTAGCAATCTGTGAAGGGGCTGAGTAGAATAGGTAACACTTAATTTAAAAAGATGCTGGAAAGGTAAATAGAAGAATTAAGGTCTTACCTACTGTCATTCCTTGTGTCATATCCCACATGGTTCAAAAGGACTTCCTCTTGGAACATATTTCAGAGATATAGCATGGTCTATGGAACTCTATATATCAATGAAAATCAGGAACCTTGACTTGCCAAAGCCAAAGTGCTTGTGTGATGCCACCAATTGATACAAACTAATGTTTTCATGTGGCATTTATCTTTTTTTCCCCTTCTCTGTGGCCTTTCTTTTACTTCAGTTTTAGACTTCAACCATTTACTCCTGTTGTTGCTGTTGTTGTTTGGGCTAAACATGGCATTCATATGGATGACACCACCAGGTTGGGATGGGCACTTAAGCTAGTGTAGACTGGTAGGAAGGTTGTTTGGTTCATTTTTATAACAGTCAATCAAAATTCTTTACTTTCTTTGATGATCAAAATGGGAAGAACTTCAGATTTAAAAATTTTCAGTTCGAAAACAAAACAGAGGGACATTTTAATAAAGATTGCATTTTTCTTCCATCCAACAACAGAAGTCACACAGTCCTCCATGGATGAAAACAGAAATGAAAAGAACCGCGGAGAGAAAAGAAAGCAATCCTGAAGAATTGGCTAAAATCAAGGAAAAGACTCTGTAAACATCAGCCAGCTATCTTTAAGATCTTCTTCATTTGCTCTCATCGTCATCTTTTTAGTCCAGAGGCATGAAAATGTACCACGTTTCTAAAGCATGCAGTTTTTTCACTATTTTATGGATGTTTGTAAATTAGTTTAGAAATTTCTGAAATAGATTGATGATTAGTATCTTTCAGCAATAATCCAGCAGAAATGGATGTTTGGAAGAAATGCTTTGTAATACAGTCCAGTTTTTTGAAATATTATTCTGCCTTGACCTGTAACTTGCTTATTATAAATCACTGTTTTGTAAAGAGATGCTATTAAGAATTTTTATTTTATTAACCAATTCTGTTTCATAAGTATCATTATTGCATACTAAGGTGAAGAGTGATGAACAAGTGACTACACATGTACACACACACATTGAGTCAGATGCAATAAGATAACCATGATTCAATATGTGGTTATCTCAGTTTTCTGATTGTCTCAAATCACTGTGTTATCTGTATGGTTCCAAATGCAATTTTATGTAAATGACAGTCACTCTTTTTCCAGGCAACTTGTCTGAAACTTCAGAGTATCCAGTCTGTTCAGTAAAGTGAAACCTGTTAATACATTGATATACATAGAAAATAACCCACAAGAGTTAGCTGTAACTGAATTCAGTTGAAAGTAATGGAACTTAACTAATCACAACTGTATCTCATTTTGTTGGTTCCAATGAAATTAAGGTGAAGTTCTCATTAAATCTTTCAGAAACTAAAGTTGGTCTAAAACGTTGCCACAATGTTATCAAAAGCTTGCTAATTATATCATATAGCAATCTTCTTACATCAGCTGACCTGCTTACTTATTAAGAGTGTGGCATTTCCCCCCTTGATTCCATGTTCATAAAGATACATGGGTTGAGTCATCAGTCCCTGGACCTATTATAAATTAGGCATAAACCACAACTGATCTGAACCAGTTCTATGTCAAAAATGACTCTGTGAGGGAGGTGTCACAGCTGGCACCCCAAGTGGGTCACTGGATCTCACTTGGCAGCTCCTGGAAGGCCTGCTGGACATGGGGGCTACTTGATCTCAGATGGGTGCAGAGATCAGCTGGCCCATCCTGAAAGGAGAAGCAGCTGTTAAGGTCCCACTCTTGGTTGTATGAACAGTTGGGAGTCACAAGGTTAGAGGCAGAAGATATAGAGTGGGGCAACCTGAGGTTAGAGAAGACAGAAGTGGGGAACTTGGAGAGAAGAAGTATTGGGTTTATGCAAAGGAGATGCTGGTGCCTGCCTGTTTGGCCCTCTTCATAGAAGGACCCCTGTACCAGGGTCATACTGTAACTTTGGGTGCCCAAGGAGAAAGCAAAAGCCCACCCACCTTGAGACCCAGAAGCCTCAGCTAAGGTGTTCAAACCATGGTCAGCGAGGTCCCCACTGCCGCCACCACCACACATCTACACACTGATACTTACACAGAAGGGGGACATAGGGCACGGCCTGGGGTAAGGATGTTTGGCCACTCCATGGTTCTTATTCCATTCATCCCCAGTGAGTTCAACTGGGAACCATGAAGAGACTGAAGTTGCCAGGACAAGAAACATGCCCCCCTGAAGATGAGACTTGGGGGAGCGGTTTCAGTGAAGGAATGAGGCCTGTAAATCATCAATAAAGTTGGGGTTGCCTCAGCCTGCTGGTCTGAATGGTTTGCGTGCTGCTCCAATGCTTGGAACAGCTGATGACCCTCATAGTCTCCCATGACAATTTCAAGCATTCTCAATAAATCTGATTTAAAAAGAAATTCTCTCTGAAACAAATTTCAGAGGAAGAGAAATTTCAGAGAAATTATCATGGGTGAAGTTCAAGGTTTGTCTCATCTTACTCCTGATGTGGCTGTGGACATGTGTGCATGTCTCGTCTTTCACTATGCAAACATTACTTTGCCAAGTGGCAATTCCCTTCTTCCACTACCCAAACTTCAGTTAAGGCCTGGGGAAGATTTGATAACTCTTTCTTTGCAGCTTTTTTTGTGCCAGGAGATATGGGCAGTCAGAATGATCAAGAGTGGCTTTTAAAACTTATTTTTTATTCACTTTATAAATAAATTAGTAAGACTAGAGTACAGCAGTTCACATACTTTTTCAATTCTGATCATGCATGCTCAAAATATGAACCATCACACAGATCAAAAGGCTAATCTATGAAAGTGTATATTTGATAGATTACATCTCAACACCCATCTAGAGCTGTTCAGAAAGAATGTTTCCAAAATTCCCTGTGCTGTGCTGGAATGCCCTAATACTATAATCATAAGGGAAATGAATAGAAGCCTGATGATTACAAATATGTCTTTGCTCCCCCAGGCCCTGAAATGAAGACGCAAGACAATAACTTTTGGGATTAAATACCGGCCACACTTCATTAAACCAATTCTGATTAAGACAATCAACCAGTTCCAAAATTGAGGGGGCCTGCGGTAGTGCTGCCCCTAGTAGACATGGTCTAGAGGTGTGGGATATAAATTTAAAAAATAAAAATAAATAAATAATAACTGCATGGCATCCAATAAATCGTTATAAGTCAATGGGCAAGCCCCAGGTTCCAGCTGTCTTGATGACAGGAGAAACCAGGCAGGCCTCTATTAAACACCCCAGACCTCGAGCCATCTATATTTGATCACTGTCGGTCCGAAAGTGGCCCAGCGCATTTTGCCGCCTACAGCTCTGTAATCGCACGATCCGCAGAGCCAGAAGGTCCGATGCGCTGTTGGCTTAGCATAATTATCAAAGGGACACACCGAGACAACCAGTTTTTCCCGCACTACCCGCCACAGCATGAGGACTAGCCCAGCTATGTCCCATGTTCCCACCAAGCCGACCAAGCTCAGAAAGCAGGCCCCCTTTATATCCTCCAGCAAATGTCCAAGACTGCAACAGACAGTTGGACTCCATCGGTCTCCAGTATAACAAGACATCAGTGCCATTTCTAGTGATCTGTACCAACCATTGCCAACCAAATGTACCACCAAAATGCCCTGAGGCCCATTTTCCAAATATGTCATTCTTCCAAGCTGTAACCAATTCATGCCAGGCATGCTTTTCCAAGACATAAATGCATGGGCACCAAGCCCCCAAATCATTCCCACATGGGGAAGATGCAGCACCACATGCCACCCAATGGATGAAACTGTGCCATTAATCATGATGTGTCTTCGTCACTCCAAGGTCTCACCACCTGAAATGATATAAACAGCTTCTGCCATACGTTAGGTAGTGGTATGATATATTTGTGGTAGCAGCCAGACGACCAACATCCTAAATGCTTAATTTGTTCTGCGTTACCCCTCGTGGCAGCTGTTGTTGAGGCATCCCCCATCCTGAAGTAAGGTGTTCCATATCTCATATTTCAAAGCCCTACAATTTATATATATATATGATAGGGCTAGGGCCCTAAATATCAAGTATTCTGCTCCCTCTCTCCTTAGGTAACTCACTAATCCCTCCTCCCAGTTCTAATTCTAATTGGCATGGTTCCCCTTTCCCTGAGCACTACTACCCCCTTCCGATTTCTTGTTGAGTCCCCCTATCTTGTTTTGCTGCTGTGTCCCTGCTTTAAAGCAGGTGGTTTTAGGGTGCTTTCCCCCACATGTAAGGCAGTCATGGGTAAACCTGCATGGGGACCTTGTGCAGGAACCTCTGTTATTGAACTCGTAGCAAGGCAACCAAGGCTGACCCTCTCCTTGACGGGTATCAGTGGTCTCTGTAGATTTTATGTTCAGATGCCCGCTATCATATCTATCGCCTAAATTGCATTTGGTGGGCATTATGTGTTGCAACTAAAGCCCAGGGTGTGTCTCGTCCCATCTCAGCTCGGGCCTGATTGCGCTCCTCATTCTAAACGCTTGGTTGTAACGAAGCCAAGCCAGGCGTTCAAATTCTGTTTATGCTCTACGAATTATATCGAAATACTGGAATAGGGCTAATGCCCTCCAAGGTTGCATTTTAACCAGTACCCCCGAATATATAGTAAATCCAGTGACCCAGTTGTTCCAATTCCTATCAGGCCTCTTTCGCCTGTACTTCTCCTTCAGCTTTTCTTCATCCTTATCGATCTCCTTGATCACAAACTACTGATTAAGGAGCTCATAAAAGTCAATGTATTGTTCCTTCCCAAACTTCTCCTTCAGTGCCGGAGTCAGATGATCCCCCAATGGCATACTATAGTCTGAATATGGAAGTGCCACCATCGGAACTGTATTGTAACACGTATCAGGCACAGAAGGATGTTGTTTAGCTCCTAAATTCTTACCCTCATTAGCTGGTGCTGCTTTAGTGGCATTTGCATAGGGCATGCCCCATCCAAATCATTGCAGGTTTATTGGGGGCCAAAAGCCACCAGGCCACGTCATGGGAGGTGATGTACAAGGATTGGGTGAGGCAAACGTCTGTTGTAAGCCTCCAGCCCACGGCCAAGTGGCCGATTGACCCTGCATGTTGTGCATGGCTTCGTACTCACCGTATGCGGCTCCAGATATTCCTGGAGCCTCAACAGCACCTTGCAAACTTGTAGAGGATTCATCAAAGAGGGTCGTGCCCATATGCAGTTCCCCCTTCAGCATCCTGGCGATCTGCTGCCTCCATCCTCTTGCGTTTCTGCCCTCCTGTCCCCACAGGTGCTGCCGTTGATCCTTTGTCCACAGTCTGTCTTTCCACCTCGTGACCCTGCTCAGATTCAAGGGCATTAAAACGTCTCATTAGATCCAGTGTAAGTGCTCTCATTTCAGTCTTACATCATCCCGCCATGTCCCTGGCAGAGCGGTGAGGGGTAACATCACATTCCAAAGAGGTCTGGCTTTCTAACTTTTTGGCCTCCGAATTTGCCACTTTGGCCTGCAAACCCTTAAGCATAGCCCATGATTCCTCGTCAGAGGATGACTGAGGGGGAGACACCTGGGGAACCACCTGTCTCTTTGCAAGGGCTTTACCCTTATTTCTGCCTCCTTTTTTGTGAGGCATTTTTAATTGCCTATTGCCCCAGTGTTCTGTTATTACTTCAATGTAATCCCAAAATTTTAATACCTCCTAAGGGTTACCCCCAACCAAAGGGTATCCCCTCCACAGAGGAGTGTCCCTTTGCCTTGCCTTAATTTTAAATTCATAAATCCATATACAAAAAT